TAGATGAACACATCAGTCGATGCATTGTGACGACCATCAGAGACCAGCAACCGTAGTTGATAGACCGATTCCTGTTCATAGTCGAGTGGTTCCTGAAAGCTCGGTGCTTCAGTGAAACGCTAGTTCAGAGAAGATGAAGGAATCACTGATCAGTGGGCGGGCGAATCAGCACTTTCCGAAATTGCGCTCAAAATTAAGGCCATAAAAATTCGGATGAAAAATTAGCTTCATACCTTGACAAAAATCGCTCCACTGTCCGTTCGCGCACCAAATGGAATCCGACCTCCTTGAGCAGCAACAACATCGTAGCGCAAGGTTGAGTCTGAACTCCAAAGATTCATCGAATAATTCAGTTTATCCTTCTTGCTCACATGATTGTGCCCAGAACACTGGAGCCAAATTAACGCCCATGATGATTGGTCAAAAAAATAAAATGGGTAGAGATCTCATCCTTTGTATTGCCTTGCTCGTCTCTCGGACCTGTCTTGGTAAGGCAGGGATGAAGGATGGGGAAGCGAGAGGAAAGGGGTTCGCACCGTAGGACATTCTGAGGAGGAGACTTACTTTTCAGAAGTTTTCCCCCGTGGCAGGACGTGCCCCGACTGCAGCACTTTGAAATAAAATCCTTCAAATCCAGATGCTAGTTCTTCGTACGTGATACCGTTTGCACGTCGCCGAGGCTGTGATGGTTTAACCGACGCCCTGTTGCAGGACGTCCCATCTCTTCTACCACGCATCAGCTCGCACTTTTCCGCACCGATTTTTTGCGTATGGTCCCAAGCAACCGAAGCGGAAGTCGAAAGGAGTGTATCAGTGTGAAGTGGATTTTGGGGCGACGCCAGCTCATTTTCCACCAATCATTTTCATGTGGCAGCGACTGTTCGAGAACGAGCTGGCGCCGCGCCAAAATCCGCGTCACATTAACAAGCCCAATTGATTCGGTAGCTGCGGACTGTGCAATTCCAACCAGGACTGAAGTTTCAAAGTCATTCCGGCGAGATATAATGCAGGTTACCAACCCCTTATACGACAGATGTCGCCGGTGACATACTCGCCGGGGTCTAGCTCTGAAAAACTCTAACGAAAGTGAACTGACGTTTATCCATATCATGTGCCTTGACAGTAATGATATCGTGACCAGGATCGGCATTCTCCAACACTTTTCCGATGTATTTTGGCTCATCAAACGATGGAGCGTTATCATTGACGTCACCGATTACGATTTGGACTTTCACATTATCTAGAATAAGTTCTTTTTGCTGCACTCATGATAAAGACCTGTTCAGACATTAGAAATTTTTATCTGACCAAGATGCCACGAGTTAATCGATCAGCGACATCTACTCGATAAATAGTTACCTTTGTTTGGGCCCACGGCTCCTGGTAGAGCTGACGGTAGATTGTCTCGAGCTTCCACGGTAAGAATGTACATATCCTTTTGCTCACGATCAAATTTGGCATTCGGCCAAATCTCACCAGTCAACTCGTCAATACGGAACAGTCCTGCTCCCATGGGATCTGGCACATCAAGTATTCGGTAGTGGATCTGGAAAATTAAGGTGAACAGGTCGAATGAACGTTCGGTAGTTCCATTCCAGATTGCATGCCATTCATTCGAGATTGGAGAGAGGTCCTCAGTAGAAGGAAACCCCAATTTTTCCATCGGTTAAGGGTGCCATGGGAGGTTAAGACCACCTACAGTCTATCTACAGGGAGCGCTACACGCAGGCCTTTTGCATCCAACAGCTGCTAACCGTAATAGCTAAGCTAACCTCAGAACGGTCTATCTCAATTTATCTCAAAAATGCTCTCAGTCAGCGTTTTGAAGTCCGCCGCGCATCTCACTTCGGCTCAGAATCGCTTTTCAAATGCAGCTTTGCCAATAATGGCATCTGCAAGACAGTGAATGAGTGTTTTGTCTTTCCATACAAGTCTGGCACTAGTTGACTGATCCAGAACGGATGGAAGGCTCTACATGCCAACCCGGGATTTGATCTCAGGGTTTCGGCGTTGTAAGCGGCGCCTCCTGCCATCAAACCACCTTCCCCTCAAAAACCTATTCTCTAGAGGCGACTCAAGAATCTCAAAAAGCCGACCTCATTCTGTGGACCGTCAGAATCTGTGTCGACCGCTTTCACCGTAGTTATCGGCTTTCGATCGAATCTGGAACGAGATGTTTTTATCACGGTGAAATTGAAATTAGCAGAACATTCAAAATATCGGTAGCATTTTTCTCCAAGACACTAAAGAAAGGCTAGGCCTCACCTTTCCAGATACTCAGCTGGTGTAAGCTCCTCGTCAATCGTTCCTGTGAAGAGATCCACCGTAAACTGTGGCACGACGTCATTTACGTCCTTCACAAGTACCGTGAATGATCGTGATGACGACACATGTGAGTTCACGTCCTGAAAACAGTGAGGTTCTCCACTACTGACAGTACTGTGACAATAGGTTAATTGGCATACCGTAGCGGTGAGCGTGAGGGTATAGTTTTGAGCCTGTTCATAGTCAAGCGGTTCCATGATCACAACCTCTACCCATTCTCGCCCATCCTCGATTTTGTTAAATTGACGGAATTTCGCATCCGCTTTACCTGGCCTCATAATACCACCATTGGTCAACCTAAAAAAGCAGTACACATTATCCTAAAGTAAATAGTACACTTACAATGTGAAATACTTTCTTCGAAGATTCGAAAAAGGTAGCAAAGACTCAAGAAGAACGAGGAGAGGAGGCGAGCCTTTTTCTGTGATAGCCGGGCTTGGCATTGCCAGGCGGACGCGACTTCGTCGCGCATGTTTCTTTCGTTGTGTGAGAATACTCGGCTAAAGCGTAACTCTTTTCTCATCCGAACACATAGTCACCAATTTTGGCTTTAGTCTGCCGCGTTTAGCTGTCACCTCGTTGCTGACCTTTGACCACTTTTTCCCATCTCTAGACTAAATGGAACGGCGCTGTGGGTTCTTGTCTGCTGAACCGCCTACTCTTGGCGCATGCCCCGCCCACTGCCAGCAGGGCTTAGCGTGCATGAGATGGTGCTCCGTCCATCTTATCCCACGCCCCACCCATTCTAATCTTGACCACCGTCTTCCCGGCGTTGCCTAGTATTCCTCTATATTCTTGGTCGAGTCGGCACGATGCGATACGCGCACACGGTACGATACGCATCATCCTACTGCAGTCCTCATCATTACGTACTGTCGGGGCGGTTCAGTGCAGCTGCGTTTG